TATACTATGCAGCAAGAACACATTAGATGTTTATTTAACATCCAAGGAAGGTTATTAGTACTGATAGTAAGTTTTGAACTAAGGTTTTCTCTTTTATACGCACTTTAACGTGCAATTCTCTACGTTTTTCACATACTGTCTGCATCTACTTTTTTGTTAAAAATCAAACAACAGGTTCAGGGATGCACCCTGCAAAAAATAAAAATATGTGAAATTTACATCTGAAGTCATGGGTTGACAACACTGATGACAAAGCTTAGTAGCTACGTTAGCATTAGCTATGTTAGCTTTGTAGTGTTAGCTGTCTTAGCTTCATAGCGTTAGCAAACTATATTAGCGTTAAAGGTGTTGACAGCCCGACAGCCCCCCGTAACCCCTACCCTCACCCTAACCTTCACAGGGGTGTGTGCCTAAACCTTAGTCATGGCCGATCGGCTAGCAGCTGGAATTCACCTTATTGTGTCGCTGCGGTCTCCACATGTTTGTCATGTGATTTCCAAAACGTAGGTCCGGTCGGGAAATGGAGTTTGAAATTGCTGTTTTGAGACACATGGCGCTATTTTGGGATTTGCTCATATGAGTCATATTTGGAGGGTGGTTAATACGACCTATCTTGTCATTTGACTTGGTGGACTTGTTAAAAACATGTAGAAAATACACTGTGACATACACACACAACATATTATCTACACGTTATCCAAGCGTTATCGTCATTATTGTTATTGTGTTAAAGTGTTGCTGACGCATCACATTTTCACAAAACATGTTAATTTCACATGTTTTTGGCCTCCCTGGCTTTCCATAGACACGCACACACTTTGGTAAAAGGAACCCTAGGGAAAGAGATGGAGCAGTCTATCACGCAGTCAGGGTCATAACAGCACCCCTACTTAACCAGCCACACATACACACATACATCTGTGAAGTACAGAAAGAAAAAAAGACACACATGTACAACCATCTTTGCTCACACACTCATGCTCTTGCGTGCATCTCTTGTACATAAAAATACATTGATGCATCCTCATCTACAGCGCTGCTGGTGTAGCCTGGTAGCAGGCTGCTGGTTAATCACTGTGCTAATGTCACTAAGCTGATTGGCCAGTCAGGTCATTTTGATGTTTGTTAGGGAAACCACAAGGCTAGATGAGTAACTAGTATGACTCACTGCCTGTCTTTTCTCATCTATCTATCTATCTATCTATCTATCGTTGCTCGGTTTCCATGCAGTTGTCCCTTTAATATTAAGATAAGTATGTAAAATACCTGTCTTGCCAGCATAGAATTTCAGATCCCCCTGACATCCCTCCTAATTGTGCTGTTTGCCCAAATTACTATAATTATTCTATATGTCTCAATCTGATTAGTGCAGGAATGCAGGACATTTGCAGGCATTCTGTTTTGAAAGTGTTTTTATCAGTTTTTAAACTAGAGTGTAAGCATTTTAAAAATTTGCAGCAAATATATTGTTTTTTGCAGGTGGTGAAGTAGTAATGAGAAAAGACTTTTGGAGTAAGTGGTCATTAAATGCATTTTGTGTGAAAGCAATGAAAAATGATTAACGGTCTGGTAAGCATACACTTCTATTTTACTGACTGTGTGAAGAGTTTTGACAATGTGACTTCTGCTTTGACCAATGCATGTTATCGAAAAAATTTTACTACAGAGTAGGGCTGACCCCGAATAGTCGAAGATTTGATGCTTTGATGGGCGGAGCCTGATTCAACTGTCAATCTCACAGTCGAAGCTTCGCAGGGAAACAAGGATCACACCATTTTGGTGATATGGGGGTGCTCAACGTCTGATTTTACATAGAACTACCAGTTTTCTCCCAATAAGCTAATATACAACCTAGGCATAGCGTGTTTGTGTGTAGTGGCAGTGGAGGAAAGCAGAGACAAAGGGCCAGCTTCACTGGTGTTGTGCTGAGTTGTCTGCACCTCGCAGGACTTTCGGATAATTTATCACCGTTGATGAATGACACAAGGAATATTATATCGTTTTTAAATAGCAAGTTACTTGAAATAGACCTGCGAGGGACCGCGACATGCATGCAGTTGTCGGCAGCACGGCATGCAAGCTAAACTCCACACAAGACCGGTGAATGGCAGGCGAGAGAGAGAGAGAGAGTGAGAGAGAAAAAAGGTCTTCAAAAAGCCTAGGCTGCAGCTTCTCAAGTTTAAAGCGGAGCCACCATGCTCATAATCGCCCTGCACAAAAACTACAGAGCAATTGCAGCATTGTTATTAATTTTTTTAATTCATACATACAATATAAGAACATGTACAGAAAAGTTACATGACAACTCCAATTTATCACAATTTGGGTCTTATTTTCATAGGTTAACCCATCTGACCTGTCATTTGTGATAACATTAATTTTACAATGTTATTCTGAAATTTTGGAACAAAGTAACAATGTTGAAACTGGAGAAGCTATGAGCTTTCAGACAACCAAATATATTGTAAACAAGTCAAAAGTTGAAATTATTTACATGTTTTTGGAGGTAAAATCAAAAGTAAGATGATAACGATATGATAATAAGCCATCTATGTACAGAAAATGGTTTTCTCACAATTACGGTTAGTAACAAGTGTGTTGAAACAGGAAGTGAGTCTGTAAACTGCGATGAAGATTATAAAGGACAGTTTGGGTATCACATTTACCCTTGTTTGTCTTCCAAATAAGCTTGGCTAACAGGGGTCTGTTTAAAGAAATACTCTGACATTTAATAAACTAAGAAGCTCTGAGAAGATCGGTACCACACTAATATCGGTCCATCCAATAAAATACTGACCAAACATCAAATTGTTTCAGTTTATCCTAACCTGCTCCATGCGTCAGGCTAAACAATGTGTCACTTGTTTGAAAAATAACTTGCTCTGGTTCTATTTTTACTTTTAAGTCTTCAACCTAATTTTGGTTGATGCTGACATTCTTGACGTTTTCACTTCCCCTCCAGTTAGCAGACAACACAGTGGACAAGACTCATTTACAAGGTTGAAATCCGGCACATCTTGTTTGATCCACAGCAACCCTTTTTAAAAGGAGAAGGTTTGGAAAGAATTTGGGGAGTCATGAGAAGGGATTTTTGAGTCTCCAAATTATTTGATATAAAATGCACAAATCCAAACTGTTGGTACACAACAGCCGATTGTTTAGACAGGCTGTCATTTCACAAGTTACAGTTATGTAATAAATAGATTATTACCAAAACTTTGTTTTTAAATTTGTTACAGCTAACCTAGTAGACCCAAGTGCAGGACTAGAAGTGGGAGGAGTTAGAGAAATGGGGAGTAACAAGTAAGTAGACTTTAACAACCTGTCTATGTCCGTAACTGGGCTTTGAGAATATGTATACAATTCTTAAAGTTATTTTATTTCTTTTATTCTTTAAAAAGTTTTTTATTTTATTTTCTCCTTGTCCTCCCCTCCTTCAGTTTTTCCTTTTCCTGTTTATTGTTTTGTTTGTCTCCTCTCATATATGTTCTTCAAATCTGCCACGCTCATAATAGATGTCTTGCATCTATTTTGTGTTTTGTGTATGTTCTTGATGTCTATTCTGTTTCCTGGATCCCTTGTTCTCCCTCTTCTATTTTATAATTTCTTTTGCGTCCTCTCTCTCAGAGTGATTGCTGACGGGACAACTGACATACACTCTGTTGGTTAACACTTTCGTTCCCTAAGGGACATTTGGCCTATGAAGCCCGAGAGGGACAGTGGGAGAGAAAAGACAGGAAGGGAGGTGGGAAAAGAATGGATAGAGCAATGAAGGTTGAAAGATGAAGAAAAAGATCTGCTTCCCCTCTCATTCTTTCTCCTCCTCGCTATTACTGCTTTCCGTCTCCCTTCATCCCCTTCTCTAGGTCTCTCTCCCTTGCTCTCTCTCTGGCCTTTCCATCGCATTGATCAATAACACCGACAGCAAAACAGAGAGGAGAAAAACGCTTTGTGATATTTTGGCAGGTGAGAAAGAGGGAGGCAGAAAGCGAGATACAGAGTGAGAAGACAGAAGAAAAGGAGGCAGGGGGGGAAATGAGATGGAAAGAAAGGCAGAAATGAGGGGTGGTCTGTTTGAATTTTTCCATTAAAAGAATCAACTGCAACAGCCTGGGAGAGATAGAGATGGATGAAAAGACACAGAAAAAGTGAAAGAAGGAGAGGATGGGTTCATCTCTCTCTCTATCACACACATACACACACATAGACCCAGTTCAGTATCGATGAACGCTCCTGGAATTGATTGTATAATTCTGTCAAAGCCCTAACACCTGCGGTAACAGACAGCTGTGTGTGTGTGTGTGAGAGAGAGACAGACTGTGTCTGTGTTTGATGGTGTGTTTCCTGTATGGCAGAAGATGATTCTTTTTCTCACAGTACACCCTGACCACAAAATAGCACTTATAAGTGAATATCCTAAACTAATTAGGGTGACCAGAGGGACGGTCCGGAATTACAAGCAGTTGTCCCGACTTATTTGTCCCAAAAGTTGGACTAAACCTGTGTTTTGATTAGTTATAGCCTAATAAAACATTAAATAGCCTATTGATCGTTGTGAAACATTCTTTCAGTGTTGCCCACAGATGGGCACTTGTTGGCTCTCCATTGAGTACAGCAGGGTATCTGAACCTTGTGTCAACAGCCTGCTATAGCCACAAAGTAACACGCGTGCGTGCTCTTTAAACCTTGTTGTTTTCTAGTGTAGATGAAGATGGTGGACGTTACTGTCATGGAGGGCAGGTGAAGTGTAGCTGCAGGCAGAGAGATCTGACACGTGCATTGTGCACAGATGTGGCAGACACCGCACTGATGAAATTAATTAAATTAAATAGATGTTATGTATATCCCAACTCAAAGCTTTCAAGATGATACTGTCACGAGGCTGTGAGTTTGGTGTGAGTGTTGTGGATGTTGTATGTCTGGAGTGCGTGTTGTGAGCTTGTTGTCTTTGTGTTTGTCTGTCTCTGCTTGGCCCTCTCTCTGGGAGCTGGGGGTGTGTCTGCTGCGGGCTCTGCTCACACCTGAGTCTCATCCTCATCAGCGCACCTGACCTGTGTCCCGTAATCAGCCACGGCTTAAGAGGCAGACTCAAACATCCAGTCCCTGCTGGATTGTTGAGTATTCACACGTATGTTATGTCAACCCCAGCCAACCCTGAAATCTGTTTCTGCTTTTGTAAGAATTGTTTTGCATCAGTCTAACCTATTTCTCTCTTTCCCTCAGAAAACCGCCAACTGGAAAACTCTCTGTTCCGCCCGCAGCCTGGTCTTTCCCCTGCTCCCAGTCTGCCAGCAGCCACGTCGTGTTTCCCTCAGCCCAGGATCAGGAAGGGAGTTTCTTCCTCGAACCCCCAACCCCCCTGCTCTACATCTATTGAATAAACTGTGTATTCTCTACTTAGATCTGCGTTTGGGTCTTCTCTGCTTGGAAATTCTGACAGATACACTTAAAACAATGGTATGATATGCTTCAAAGTTTAAATGAGAGAATCTGTCTCCTAGTTGTCTGTCATTTCCTGTTGACAGCTGCCGAGGTACTTGCTAACTATCTGTCTGTGACCACCTGGATTGTTTATTTGGAGAAAAATTCACAACTTTATTGGTCTTTTTTTGAACAGTGGAAAGACCGCATGTGTATTTACCACCATCTTTGACCGAGTGGTGATCATACAGAGGATGTTAACAGATAATAGTCAAGAGTTTTGTTTGTGTTGCAATGCTGTCAAAAGTTTTTCAGTGTGAAGCGAATAAAGCCTGTTAGGACTGGACTATTTTTTGATTATTTTTTTTTGTGCGCCTGACCTCCACTCACAGCAGTGAACGTGATGTTCCACATCAAAGCGAAGCTCTTAGCTGTGTGGGAGCACTTTAAACTGAGCGAAGATAATCAAAGTATGGCGTTTATTAGCTTTACTTTAATTTAATTACATATCAAAACAGTCACATAGCCTACATTTAAACTTATGAGCACATTTATATAATTATTAGGCCGATTGTAGAGGAAGAACGTTTAGTAGGCTTATGATAATGATGAATATGATAATAAAAGTTAAAAGCAAATTTTTCATAACGTGTTGTTACTCATCCCGTCTGCTCTCTGGATCCTCGCCCAGCTAAACTATTCCTGTATTCTGGTCTGGACCTGTTCAGATCAGACTCTCAGCTATTGTGTCACACAATACTTGGTACAGCAGCCACCAACCCGGTTTGGCAGCATCTAGTCTTCCAGTCTGCCTTGCTCTTCCCCGGCTCAATCTCTGACCCCTTCCACCCCGCAACAAATATTCCTCTTATCTACCTCCTCCCACTTCTAGTCGTGCACTTGGATCTTCTAGGTTAGCTGTAACAAATTTAAAAACAAAGTTTTGGTAATTATTTATTACATAACTGTAGCTTGTGAAATGACAGCCTGTCTAAACAATGCCTCTCCCTCTAGGGTGCCCCAAGACATCAAAGTACCAGATGTTCTGATCCCTTTTCCCATAGAATGGCTGGGCCATAAAACACCACTTCCTTCTCTTTTTTTAGCTGATTTGCAAATGTGATAAGCCAGGAATGCGAAAGGGGGACACATAACAACTCCTGCCTTCTTGAGCTAAAACAATGTTTCATTATAAACTGTTGTTCTGTTTAACCAATAATCCTTGCTAAGTTAGTAGTGGCGTTTGCCTCCATTTGAGTAGTTACGTTACCATGTTGGTATTTATTGTTGAAAATAATCTAAATAAGTTAATTTTGCAGTGTTTTAATTTTCAGCAAGGTCACCTGACTTTATTCAGTTTTTGTAACCAATGCTTTGTTCACAATACTTTCTGACACCTCCTTTAGAAATGATGATAAAGAAATGTCATCCTATACTCGATTAATTTTCCATCTTGAATTTAAGGTTAAAAATGACTAAATTCCCCAGCTCCTAAGAAGATTGTTTTAGGATCAATCAGAGCTATCCTCATGTAACCCGAGTTCCCCCAAGTGGACAAAATAAGTATTACATGCCATCGTCTGAAATGTCATTTAATGTGTAAATGTCACTCTGTATTTATCATGTCCAATAATCTGATGCCATTCATGTGTCTTGCTTATATTCTCTAAGAACGTGTAACCGCCAATATATCGAGGAAGCTAGTTAAATTCTTCTCCTCTGATGTGACTCATTCTGAAATGCTAACCTCAAAATTGAACTACTGACAATTAAACTAAGAACGGAACAACCGTTTGGCAAATTAAGGTTTGATTGTGGGAAGATATTCGATTGCAATACGCACTAATAGTTTTGATTTAAATATTAAAAGTCAAAGAAAGACAGTCTCTTGGGAAACCGGAGACAAGCCCTCCTCAGGGAAGCAAAGGACTGCCCTCTGGGGAACACAGCCAGCAGTAACAAAGGGAGACCAAAACCTCTGACCCGAGCCAGGGTTGGGAAGGCCCCCACTGCACCTCCGGAGCAATTCCCTGGCAGAGAAAGCGGCCGGCCGACGGTTTTAAGCTGTCCTAACCGAGAACGCACGGATCTCTGCCAGTGTGAGGCCGTTGACCAGCACCCGGCTGGGAGAAGCGACACGCAGTAAGACCAAAGCCCTGCATTCTGTGATCAGTGATGTCCCATAGTTGATAATAGGTTATCTTTAACTCTTAAAACTCATAGCTCGCGTTCATTAGCTGCCCGTATGAGTCAAATACTCCCACAATAGAAACCCACATTCTCATTGTTTAGCCATTGTTTATTTCTTTGAGGTATTTAACCGCATTTTTATATCACCTTAATTAGTTAATAAACTCCACTGTAATCAAGGAATTGTGTGTGTGTATTGCCTATTTCCAAGTCCCTGCCAAGAGAATTTACCCCTTCGATTTGAGATTGATTGATTTAAGATAATTGAGCGATTGTTAACTAACTGATCACTAGTGAATAATTGTCTAATTATTAGCCATACTCAGGGAATCCCGAGACCCTGGGCGAACGGAATATCGGGTGGTGCCCCGCGAGAGATTTATGAATTAATATTTTCTGAATATTAAAATTCATAATTTGGTATTAATTCTCCTAAATTTATTAAAACAATGTAGACATGCTACGGCGTAACGCAACCGTGACCCACCCCCACCCCTCGCGCCGACGAAGATTCGATTATTCGCTGTTAATTCATAGTTTTCAGTCACGTGACATGCGTGGTGACCAGGAGGGCAAAACAACGGACCAACATAGTGGCTTACACCGTGACTCCCCCATAGAGACTGCGCAAAAGCAGTCAAATTTTATTTGGGGAAAAACCCTCGCCAGGTCCTTATTTTTACCTTCTGGGGAATCCCTCACTTAACACAGCCCGGAGCGTTTTCATTGGAGTGTGACGTCACGTGAAAACTATGAATTACTATCAAAGCTTCAAAGCTCAAAAAAATGACATTCGGTCCATCCCCAGTTACAATACAATTATGTTGCCAGATCACATCACATGTGGTTAAATTGCATATCTGTAATATCATAGTGTAACTATTCACAAATATACCATGAAACCTTCCTAGCTGATTACTTACATTAAGACAATATGTTTTTTAACAGGTTTTCTGAAATACTTGTTTAAATATGCAAATGAGGCAGTATCTAATGAAATATGTGCCAATTGGAATCTATTTCAAGGACAAAAATCTCAACACTGGTTAAGTCAGGTTCAAAATTATTGTTTTATTTTGTTGACACGTTATACTCAAATGTTTTAATTGAGGGGATTTTGGATATCTGGTGGAACGGTGGTGCAGTGGTTAGCACTGTCCACTGCCCGGCCTTTCTGTGTGGAGTTTGCATGTTCTCCACGTATCTGCGTGGGTTCTCTCCGGGAGCTCCCACCGTCCAAAGACATGCGGCCTAGGTTGATTGATGACCCTAAACTGCCCTTAGGTGTGAGCGTGAGTGGTTTTTTGTCTATGTGTGGCCCTGCGATGGTCTGGCGACCTGTCCAGGGTGTACCCTGCCTTTTGCCCGATGTCTGCTGGGATTGGCTCCAGCCCCCCGCGACCCTGTACGCAGGATAAGAGGGTTGACGATAGATGGATGGATGGATTTTGGATATCTCTTTTTATTATTTCATAAATCAAAAAATACTATTTTCAACCTGTTTTGGGGGATGAAATGTTCTATGATTCAGGCTATGAAAGATATATGAACAAAACACCTTGTAAAAACTTTCAGAATATAGTCAAAGAACAGAAACAGACAGAGCCACTTGCAAAAAGCTAAAACAGGAAGTGTCACATGACACATTTAAACTGATCACATTGACAGAAATCTCCGCTAGCCAATCAGATTTTACACTTAGATTAGATCTGCCTCTGTACTTTTACAATTGGTTGCCGGTACAAAGGAAATGACCATATTTGGATCCGACAAATGGTCACCTGAACGTGCTGCTGATCTCCTCCGCTCACTGAACATAGTCAGTCCAGATAGTAAGTAAATGTGCCAGAACGTATTGACATTATAGCTGATGAAATCAATTGTAACTAAAACTAAAACTCTTTCAAATCTTTGACATTTTTGATTTAAAAAAATGGTTAAATCATTAAGCACTGTTTAATATCACAGACCAAACACTGACTGGGATAAGGAGATTATGACTCTTTATATTATTGACTGCTATTTTATGACTTCCTCTCTTACTGGCTTTCTTGTAATGGAAATTAGAGCTTTCCTGAATCGTTGTACTTCTTGTAAAGTGTGTTTCAGTGAGAATCTTAAATGAGAGCAGGATATTTGTTTACAAAGACTCCCACTGACTTTCGTAGAGGAATGACCTATAGGTCAGCTAGCCGTGTTCTCTGATGATAGAAAGTATAATATACAGAATTTCTAAGTCTTAAAGGTCAAAATGCATAGCAATACCTTTGATGTGAGCGCTGGTGCAAGTTTTCATCTCTTTCCCTCTGTCTCTTTCAATTATACTAATGAAGCAGAACATCCATGGAAAAAAGTATAATCTTCACAAGTCATCATCCATAGTTATTTCATTGGTCTTTATGTCTCCATGGTGAGGCAGTTTGTACTAGCTACGTCAAGAAAGTGCCTTAAATGAAACTGCTTCTAACTAAATATTGAATTGAGCTGAATTGAATTTTATCCCCACAAAACAACTCTGTTGCAGTCTTTCATCCTCAAGGTCACTTAGAGGCGAGTTTTCATTACGCTCTTCTCCTTCAAGATGGAATGTTTCTGTTTGAAAGGGCGAGGAAAATAAGACAGAAAAATATGCCGTTGTCTAGAGAGAATGCGGTTTTGATGAGACAACAGATGTTCCACCTTTCATAAACCTTGACCTAGGCAAAACAGGAAAAAGACATCAGAAAGGAACGCGAGGCAATGAAAAAGAGAGACAGAGATATTGAGACATTGAGACAGGAAGTGGGTAAGCATTTTTCATCACCTCCATATATTTTTGAAGATGTATTTTTATGATAATTAGGTCATCCGTATGAACACATGGAGGATGTAGCCTGGTTTGTCCACTATGGGCACAGTAAGAATGAGACTGAGGCAGGGAAAATGCAAGAGAGAGGTTTCTTGTGCCAAAGCTCAGCTTTTTCAATTTTGTATCTATAAAAGGATCAGGATTTGTCATAGTAAAATCTCTCTCATTAAAGGAGACCTATTATGCTTTTCCATGTTTTATGACTTATCTACAATGTTAACAATCAGGGCTTGACATTAACACCCGCCAACCCGCCAAATGTGGGTGGATTTCGGCCGTGGCGGGTAACACAGTCTCTCCCACTAGCC